TTGACCCAAGATCCAACGGCCTATCCAAAATATTATTACAAGGGACTGTGCTAGGAGGGAGAAGAAGGGGAAGACAGAAGTAACCAATACGGCTGAGGACCGAAATGGATGACGGTGAATTATACGGTCAAACCAATTAGGGTAAAAGATGATGATGGTGATATATATATATATATATATATATATATATATATATATATATATATATATATATATATATATATATATATATATATATATATATATATATATAATTGGGTGTTGAGTTAGGTACCCATCAGAGCTGGGTGGACTCAGGGCCGTTCTACTCACTTGGACGCGGATTTGCTAATTTGCTCTACCGCTTAGGCCACTCCGTCCCTCCATATAAGTGCATACACACATACATATAGCGCCCTGAGTTTTGTATACATTTTTCTAATTTCAGGGAATTAAAAAAAAAAACCTCAATTATTCATTCGATAATAGCCCAGTGAGTCATAATGAAAAATGTTATACACCTGATTAAACAGACAGCCGCACCAACAAGCAGGTTGTAAGTTCGGGTAAGTTTAGGTTGAAAATAAGATACGAGCTAGCTAGTGTAAAACTGTACTTAAATAACGTGGGTTGAGATTTATTTGCAAGGCGCAAGGAAATAATGTTGACATTTATGTATGAATATTTTCCCACCGTGAACCCCTGACCTTGCTGCAGTTTAAATAATGTAGTTAGTTTTGAGGTTTGGTAATGATGGTAACATCCGATGTTTGAATAAGATCTAGCTATCTTTAATTTGTGATAGCTGAGTTAAGGGTAAAAAGATGGGGCTCGCGTGTAACCTTTGACCTCGTGTGTTCACCTGTGACCTCGGGGAGTTGGGCCTACCTGGTTGGGCGCTCGTAGGGAAAAGGTGGGTGGTCGTCTTATGGGGGTCGGTGAGAGATGGGGTCGGTCGTCTTATGGGGGTCGGTGAGAGATGGGGTCGGTCGTCTTATGGGGGTCGGTGAGAGATGGGGTCGGTCGTCTTATGGGTGTCGGTGAGAGGTGGGTGGTCGTCTTATGGGTGGGGGTTGGTAGGTGAAAGGTGGGTGATCGTCTTATGGGGGGGGGGTCGGTGAGAGGTGGGGGTGATCGTCTATGGGGGTCGGAAGAAGCTAGGCGGGTGGTGGACACTGGTGAGGCAAGGGGGAGGGAGGGGGCCTTATATACATTTTTAACAAAGACAACAGAATTCTGACTAGCTAATTCTAACTCAAAATTTCGAGTTTTAAAATGAATACAAGTATCGTAAATTGATTTGTTCAAATGTACGCACATTTGTACAGCTGTATGCTGTTTCTTATGTCAGTACTGTTGTATGTTTGTTTCATATGCCAGTAGGGTTTCATATATTAGTAGGGTTATATGTGCAGTGTTTTCTTCCAGACATTTTTCTTCGGGGGGGCACTTGAAATTTTCGGGGGGGGCGGTAGACTTTCTTCGGGGGGGGGGGCGGACACTGTTAAAAGTATATATTTTCTATATAAATTATATGAATTTCATTTCGTTCGGGGGGCTTCGCCCCCCCCCCTCAAAGAGATGCCTGGAAGAAACTCTGTTTATGTGTCATTACTGATGTATGCTTGTTTCATATGCCAGTACTGGTGTATGCTTGTTTTATGTCCGTACTGCTGTATGTTAGTTTTAGTTTATATGTCAGTACTGGTGTATGCTAGTTTCATATGTCAGTACTGGTGTATGCTTGTTTCATATGTTAGTACTGATGTAGGCCTATGTTTGTTTCATATGTCAGTACTGGTGTATGCTAATTTCAAATGTCAGTACTGGTGTATGCTTGTTTCATATGTCAGTACCGCTCAATGCATGTTAACATACGCCGGTACAATATGCTGTTTTCACATCTACATGTTTTACGTATGCTGGTATTAATTTATATGTGTTTCATATGTAAATCCAATATATACGCCAACATCAGGACCACATATGATTTTGTGTCTTTTCTGTCATAAATACACTTTCCTTTTTTATACTCAGCAAAATAAATTAACTTAACGTATGTGCAATAACTGGGACGATTTGCAAATTTAAGTTCCAATTAGTGCTTTCACATTATATTTAACTATTTACCTTTACAGACTTACATACTTACATAAAATAGGGTATCGTTCGCTTTTTCTGGTAGGCTGAAAGCAATATAGGTCTAATTGTAAGCATAAAGAATGATGTTAAGAGTGTGTGTGTGTGTGTGTGGCGGGGGGGGGGGGGTTGTAACCTACTAGACCAAACATCTTGGATTTTATCTGTTATTAAAAAAAAAATATCAAGCACTTTTAAAATAAGAACTGACATTAACAAAACGTAACTGAGAGTAACAACATATCATTTATTGCAAATTTATTTTTCATCGTATAAAAACAATTAATGTTTATATTCCAAACAACGAAAAATGTTCAACAAGATAGAAGCAATGCTTGGGTTTACAATTGTAAAAGTAAATAGTTCCTTCGTTTCAACATAATTTCAAACAGATATATACAAAAATCTCAAGTTAAATTAACAATTGGGAATATGTGATCCAAATATATTGGCTCTACTGAGGCGTGGAGTTTAAAAATAACCATTGACCTAGATAGGAGTAGGTTAGAGTGTTTTGTCAGTCTTAATATGGAGGTGTGTAGGGCCAATATCTACACATGTGTTAGCGATAAGAGGCTACATAACGTGTGTATATAAAGCTGTATTTTAATTGTCGTGGTGTATTGTGGTACTTAAGACATAGTAAGAGTGATGAGGTGCTTTGTTTTTGTTGATACACCCCTGGGTTGGAGGTGTGAACTACAGACATCTGATAAGAAGGTGGTCCAATGGCCAATACAGAGAAAGGTTTTTGTTTTTTAAAATCTAAGGAGGGTGCTTTAAAAGAACGCTGGAGGGATGTTTATAAAACATCTAGAGGGGTGAATTCAACGCCATTGAAAAGAGTGTATTCAACACCGATAAAAGGGTTATCGAACACCCCTAGAAAGTCGTCTCGAAATAAGATACAATGTGGTGTTAGTGTTGGATATTAGGGGTTGACGTGTACTGGATACCCCTGTTTGATATATTTCAACGGTGTGGGGTGTATAGAAACCTCAGAAAGTGGGGGGTGTATACCAAAATAAACCCATATGATTAGCTGTTAAGCTTTGGGCATGGTGTGTTGATGGTGTGAACACAGGACACCTCTGGTGATTTTAGTGTGTCACCACTTGAAACCCCTTGTGTCTCAGTCAAGACAACTATAACAAGACTGTCTTGTCTATCAGAAGATCCCCACAAAGTTTGATTACAGTGACTAATTCAGTCAGAGAAAATATATAGCTGGACCATATGTACCAGTGACTAGCTAGTTATTTATAGTAACAATAAGCCGCTTTTGTTCCTGAGTCATACAAAGGGTAATTTCTACGCTAAAACGGGACTAGTCCTCTGTGAACTGAATGCATTAAATCAATACAGATAGATAAATATTAACGGTATTTCCCTGCTAAAACCCGAGACAGGAATAGAGCTGTGTTTTAGGTTCCGTTTAAATTTAATTAAGGTGATGAGATTAAGGTGCCTATATACATTACAGGCGAAGCAGGTTCTAAATATAGATGTATTATTTGTCTCAGGTTTTACAGTTAACGTGACAAATAAAACGTACAATAAATCATATTGACAATATGAATACCCGGTTCTTCAGATCAAAGGCTATGTACAATAACATGAGATAGGTTACATTATTGAAAGGTTTACGGTAATGTCTTTATGGCAGGTGCATGTAGCCTATCATTGAAAGTTTTACGGTAATGTCTTTATGGCATTTTGTGTCGCCAACCGTTGAAAGTTTTACGGTAATGTCTTTATGGCATTTTGTGTAACCAGCCATTGAAAGTTTTACGGTAATGTCTTAGTGCAGATGTGAGTACAGATGTTTCTCCCTTCACCACTGACTATCCTCGTCTGCACATTCCGGAAGCGCCGCCATTTGCAGGACTGGTCTGGACAGTTTCTCTGGAACATTCCGAATCTGTCGTGGGGAGGATATGACATTTTCGATGCAGGACTCGGGCAAGCTAGACAGGATGTGACGTATGTTGCTCAGCTGTCTGTGGCAGTGTGTCGTCTTCTGGAGCGTGTCGCACGAGAAGGCGTGGACCCAGTCACGTGCCGTCTCCGGGCTGTTGGCCTCGAATTGGAAAGTTCTGCCCTCAGCCCCGTCGACAACCAGGGAGAAATGAGCCGGGTTGGCGGGTGAATAACTCACCCGTGTGTTCTTTAGTTTAAGGTACAGCGTGGGCCACGAGCTGTGTCGTCTGGTGTGGGCTATGGTAGCGAAACGGTGAAAACTTTTCTGGTATATTTTTACAATCACCGGGCATCGCAGAGCGGGTTCTGGACTCCCAGGAGTATTGTCACGTGATTTGGTGAGACCGGCTTTCTCTATCAAGACCAGAGAACCGGATTTGATCTCGGCGGAGTTATGGTTCGACTCCGGGTTGAAGTCTTTAAACGAGACGTCTGTCGATGGAGAAAACGAGGGCGAGTGAGCAGGCGGGTTGTTAAATTCCGGCAGGCGCGTGAGTCTCAGAGGGCTGGAATCGTAGGAATTCTGGTTGACGTGGGCGCAGTTATTGTTCGTGTTGTCGCCACATGATCTGTGGTGTTTATCATGACTGACCAACACGGTGTCACAATTTGAAATGTTTATATCACCATTAGACCCATTGTCGTTTTCTGTCTCCTCGGATATAACGTAACATGTGTTAGAAATAGGTCTCCGGTTCTGAAGGTTCGAGTACGACACAGTCGCATCTGGGAAATCCAACAATTCCATTTTAGGGTACACGTCGAGTTTAGTCAGGCCCATGATATATTGGTGGCCTGTTTTCATTCTACACCGAGATCACAATTCAAGTCAACAAAATAAAAAATAGTTCAAATTCACAAATAATGTAACACTGTATGAAGTCCAAAAATATGGAGGCAGAATCCTAGTAAATTCTGTCATCACAATTTGAAACACAGAATATATACTCGTGGTCAACTGCGATGATTGTTATGAATATTTGATGGTTTTTCCTCTATGATACATCAGTCCAATGGTATTTAAACGTATGAAAAATTCCTTAAAAATCGAACAAGTAAGCTTATTACACACATGAAGAATTTAAGTCGTGTTCACAATCGCGACTTAGGTAGTTTCTCATTCACTGCATGTAGCTCTACCTGTACTGGACGGTTGAGGATTTGGTTTGAAATGACTCAAGTCCGGGTTAATATAGCTCTCCACGGCATAAACACAACAAAAAACATCAGGCGCTTATCTCATAACTACAGGAAACATGCGTTGTTTTGTTGGCCGTCCCGCCGAGTTCAAGTCACCGCGCAGCGCGCGAGGTCCTCGTGCGTTTGTTTACCCGAGTACAGCGCTCCTTGGCCTGACATGCGCAGACGCGGGGTCGTCTGATCTTCCCTGCCCCCCTCCTTGTCACACGATTTGTAACACGTACCGCCCGAGACGTGTACGTGGGCAGTGTGTGGTTTGATTTATGTAACAATCCCTTACACCTATTCCCACAGCCTTTGGGGGACAGCGTTATACTTTTGTAAAAGAGGAGCGTATAATACAGATGGCATCAAGTATCAAGGGGGCGTGGAAAGTGTTTGTTTAGCTAGTCTTATATCGGAGTTTAGTCCAGTGTGTGGTATAGACATTTTGTTCTGGGAATGGGAGAGGGGGGGGGGCATTTAATAGGTGTAGTCAGCTTTAAAAATATAGGAATGATTATACATTTTCTATTAAAGTTCAATATATTTTTCTTTATTTCGTGTGTGTGTGTGGGGGGGGGGGGGTTGGGTGTGCTGTTCAGTCAGAGTGTTTCTTCCAGACTTTTTTTCTCCGGGGGGGGGGGTGAAGGCACATACAATTTTCGGAGGGGGGCGGACTACAATTTCGGGGGGGGGGGGGGGGAGGAGTGTTGACCCCCGTAGGGATGGGAGAGCAATCCTCCTACCTCGGACAGATGCCTGAAAGAAACGCCGGTTTTGTTGAATTTGTAGTGATACTACACCTTAGTAAATAATGTAGGTGGGTATGATTATGGACAAAGAAGAACAAAAAATACCCACAAGCTACGTAGTTTTTGTGTTTTGTTGACTTAAACGTAGTCACCTATAAAGGTGGATAGAGGGGTTGGTTTCAACAGCAGCATGCTATTAATATTTTAATAATTCTTATAATATGTGTCATTATTACAATGCGTTCGACTATATACGAGTATGATTTTTAAAACCAATTATGGAAGTGTTATGTTGTGATAATAAATTAGCCTACTATTTTTAGACATAGTTTTTGAATGGGACTGAGAATTCTGGGATTGGTGTCCCTGAGGCTATGGTGTCAGTCGAGTGTGTAGTGTCATTGATACCACGAGAGGCGGTTGATATCTCTCCCATGTCGGGCCAAGTTCGAACCTTGACGCCACCAGCCGTGTTCTCGCGTCATCGTTCGTCACGAGCGTCCGTCCCCGGTGTGTAGGTGACGTCATTTGCGGACAAACGCTAGCACTAGAGGAGACCCGTCCCAACAGGCGGAACCTCGATCTAGGTCTAAATATAAAACACATCTTACGTAAATTGTTGATACTATTCGAGTAGGACTATACGTCAATATATTTGACAACAGTGTTTAGACGTCAGGGGTGGACTCAATGTGTCCAAGCGGCCAGGGAAATAAATAAAAGCGGCCCCTCCCACACAGATTTTTTTTCACAGTGCATCCCCCCCCCCCGAACGAAATGGAATTTATATAGAGAACATACTTTTACCAGTGTCCCCCCCCCCCCCAAAAAAAAATATCAAGTGCCCCCCCCCCCCCCCCCGGAGAAAAAGTCTGGAAGAAACACTGCCCCGCTCCCTACCCAATCCAACCCAGAGGACTTATACTTAGAATCCATGAAGTCACGGGTAACTGTATATATAATATAAATTAATAGCGAAACAAACAGAAAAACGGGAGGGTTTAGTTAAATAAGGACATATTTAAAAAATCAAATCACTAATTGGCCCATTTTAATTAATTTTAATTTACAAAAATCAAATCACCAATATTAAATCACCATAATGGGACGGCGTGGTCAACGGTAGAGCATACGACTGCTAGCCCCAAAGTCTCGAGTTCGAATCCAGGTTCAAGTGCGTACAACATCCTTGAGTCCACCCAATTCTGATCGGCACCTGACTCATTTTAGGGAAAATAGCGGCGGCTGGGCATAGTGCTGACCACACTATCCCTTCATATGCCAAGGTCACAGAAATAGGTGAACTCTACTTCACTATTCCCACGGACCGTCAGGTTAAAAAATGGGTTCTTTACTTTTAAAATACGCATAAATCAGTAAAGCAATGTAAGCTTTATAATATTTTATACTTTAATGCGCACGAGGCAAGAAACATAGGGCTGATGAAGTAGGGTCTCTCTGTTTAATTAACCTCGACATACTTGGGGAGGGAGAGGGGTTAGTACTATGTCCATTACAGCACTGACCCTGGCGACCCACCTAATTTTTCCCAGTGTTTTGGCTTCCCAGCCCACCCCTGGTAGCTGATACAGAGATTGGATTAGAGTAATTAATAATTTGTTTACAATAATTAAAGTTTAGGATAATTAATTAGTATAATTTGATTTCAAATTTAATTTAGCCTAACAACGTTGACGCAAAGCCTAACAGGATGGGTTCCCTATAAGTTAGTGTTAAGTTATCACATTCGTCAACACACAGCGAAATTTGAACCATGCCGACACCACGACTTCTGAAGCTGAAATGCCAGTGTGCTCTAAACACCTTTGGTTTATAAAGCCGTCTATTTTTAACTCTTCGGGAATACAAACGATCACAGGCGATTTCGTAATGTATCTATTTATAGCTTAGTAGGTGCATTATGAATGAAATGACCCGAGAACTCGACGTCTATTAAAAGCTAAATTTAGCTACTAGTAACATGACCCCCGCTTCGGTCGGGTGGTCGAGAGGATATAAGGTGATCAGTATATCAACCTTTGACCTTTGTCATGCCATACATGTGACAAACTTCACGGATATTTAAAAAAACACAACAAATTACAGCACATTATTATGAGTCATGGGTTATTTAAAAATCATTGACTCGTCTTAATCAAGTGTTGTCGACTTAATCAAGTGTTGTCGACTTAATCAAGTGTTGTGGTGTGTTGTTTGGCTCACGAGAGCCGCGGAGAATTCTCAGCCGGCAGCTGAGTCACCGATATAAACAACTGGATCGATACGGATTGATTGGGGCGAAATTTTCCATTTTAGACGCACAGATAGATGTACGCTTTGTTTTTTTAATGTATGTTTGGGTTTTAGGATTTAGTTAACTCGCTATAGCATACAGAATGTAGGTAATGTCGGGATAACAACACGTTACAGCATACAGAATGTAGGTAATATCGGTTTAACACGCTATAGCATACAGAGTGTAGGTAATGTCTAACAACACGTTACAGCATACATAGTGTCGGTAATGTCTAACAACACGCTATAGCATACAGAGTGTAGGTAATGTCTAACAACACGTTATAGCATACATAGTGTCGGTAATGTCTAACAACACGCTATAGCATACAGAGTGTAGGTAATGTCTAACAACACGCTATAGCATACAGAGTGTAGGTAATGTCTAACAACACGCTATAGCATACAGAGTGTAGGTAATGTCTAACAACACGCTATAGCATACATAGTGTAGGTAATGTCTAACAACACGCTATAGCATACAGAGTGTAGGTAATGTCTAACAACACGCTATAGCATACAGAGTGTAGGTAATGTCTAACAACACGCTATAGCATACAGAGTGTAGGTAATGTCTAACAAAACGCTATAGCATACATAGTGTAGGTAATGTCTAACAACACGCTATAGCATACAGAGTGTAGGTAATGTCTAACAACACGCTATAGCATACAGAGTGTAGGTAATGTCTAACAACACGTTATAGCATACAGAGTGTAGGTAATGTCTAACAACACGCTATAGCATACAGAGTGTAGGTAATGTCGGTATAACACGCTATAGCATACAGAGGATAGGTAATGTCGGTATAACACGCTATAGCATACAGAGTGTAGGTAATGTCTAACAACACGCTATAGCATACAGAGTGTAGGTAATGTCGGTATAACACGCTATAGCATACAGAGTGTAGGTAATGTCGGTATAACACGCTATAGCATACAGAGTGTAGGTAATGTCGGTATAACACGCTATAGCATACAGAGTGTAGGTAATGTCGGTATAACACGCTATAGCATACAGAGTGTAGGTAATGTCTAACAACACGCTATAGCATACAGAGTGTAGGTAATGTCGATCTACAAACACGCTATAGCATACCGAGTGTAGGTAATGTCTAACAACACGCTATAGCATACAGAGTGTAGGTAATGTCGGTCTAACATAATAGCATTAAAACATTTAAAAGTTTAAAAGTCATGGGTTAGTTAGGGATAACAATGACTAACCCATATATCTTTTCTCTTTTATCACCTACCCATATCTACATATGGGTAGATGAAGTAGAGCTCATCTGTTTTAATGACTTCAGCATACAATGTGATAGTGTAGTAGTCAGTACTATGCCCAGACGTATTGTTTCCCTAAGGTGAGTCAGGTACTAATTAGAGTTGGGTGGACTCATGGACGTTTAACAGACTCGAATCCGGGATTCGAACTCGAGACTTTCAGGTTACCAGTCTTATTCGACAACGCCGTGCCATAATGAGCCAATTAGTGACATTTTTTTTAAAAGAATGCCTTTATTTAATTAACATATGACCAAACAATTTTAGCTTTTTTTTCGCACCCTCTTCCTATTATACTCACATTTAAAAGCCTATGGTTAGATAGGAATCACTAAAAAAAATGCGGTCCTGTTTAAAGGGGCCGTTCATATATGGCCAAACAATTTTAGTTATTTTTCGCACCCTCCAACTGAAGTCACATATCATATTATCATACAACTAGCATGCAAGTATTGTACATTTTCTTACACCGTCATTAAAGTAATGCCCCAATGTAATATAATCGTTGGCTTTTTTTTTTAAACGACCGCACCATAACCGCATCACTATCCCAGCATGGAACGTGTGTGATTTTATATTGTCTAACATGTAGCTGGGGGGGGGGGGGGGGGGTTAAGTAGTTATGTCTAAAAATGTACATAATAAGCGGGGTGTTTTAAATTCATATTAGGCTTTTTTCTCCGGGGGCGGACACTAGTATATTTATATATTTTAACTGTATAATTTTTTTTCGTGAGGGGGACGGGGCGACGCTAGACGTGCTTCAGGG